AAGGTCCCGAGTAACCGGCACAGCTTTCCCCGACCGCCCGAGCATCCCCGTGTGTAAACACGTGCCCTCCCCGACTTCCCTGGCACGTGCGCGCGCGCCCCTGGTCAGGTCTGTCTGCATCTGGCCGCTTCCTCAGAACACATCCTGCAAGAGGAGGTGGTCTCTAGGATCAAACGTTAGGTCAGTTTCTCAGGCTTCAGACGTGGACTGCCAAACTGTCCTGCAGAAAGAGCGGGCCCGTGTATAACCCACCTGGCGGTGCGCTTCTGCTTCTCTGGGTTAAGATGCTGGAGTCACTTGAGAATCTTTGCCAACTTGATAGGTTCTTAAATATGTGTTTCGATTTTTAGAGATGTTTTTGTTTTTATTTTTATTTTTTAATATACTTTAGTTGAAGTTTAGTCAGTTTACAGTGCTGTGTCGGTTGCTAGTGGACAGCACGGCGACTCAGCCGTACGGGCGCACACGCGTTTGTTTCCGTGTCTTTTTAACCGTAACTCACTACAAGATGGTGAGAGCAGCTCCCTGTGCTCTGCAGCGCGGAGATGTTTTCAGGTCACGGGTGACGCTGAGTCTTTTTTCCCCTGACTTTTGTCCCCATGTTGGTTCCTCTTTGCCATCACTTTCCTCAAATTGCTGTGAGACTTGCACGCTCTCTACATGCTGCTTTTGCGCCACGCGTGCCCGACTCTGGCGTCACCCTTGTTTGCCTTTTATGTCGGGGTTTTTTTCATCGGTGTTTTCCCCCCTAGTTCCTACCTCCCGTGTTATGTTTGGAAGGACGACCCGACCCCGGGAGTGTATTTTAAGCACATTGTCATAGATCTCATCCCGAGAGCTTGCTGATGAATGAGTGATCTGAACCAAAGCAAACAAGAGTGTGATGCGTGCAGATTTCCGTGCCCGTGGCCGGCTTTGAAATGTCGCACTCGCCTGCGTGCTGTAGCTTGCTACGTACTTTTGCCCCGGGTGTTCCACAACTCGGCGCGGGCCGCCCTGCAGGTGTTTCCCCTGGTGCGTGTTGCCCGGGCGTGGCCGGGGCAGACCCCCCGTGACGGCCCCCATGCGCTCTGTCTCCAGGCCAGCTTGGCGCACCGACTGGTGACCCGGGAAGGCTCCGTGGGCCCGCTGCCCCTCTACACGTCACCCTCCTTGCCCAACATCACGCTGGGACTTCCTGCCACCGGCCCGTCTGCTGTAAGTAGGCGTCCGTGGGTCTGCGTGGCGGTGGCCCCCAGCGGCTGTCGCCAGCCTGACCCTGGACGTCCGGTTGTGCCTCTGCAGGGGGCGGCAGGCCAGCAGGAAGCTGAGAGGCTGACCCTCCCAGCCCTCCAGCAGCGCCTCTCTCTGTTTCCCGGCACCCATCTCGCCCCCTACCTGAGCACGGCGCCCCTGGAGCGGGACGCAGGGGCGGCGCACAGCTCCCTCCTGCAGCACATGGTCCTCCTGGAGCAGCCGCCCGCACAGACGCCCCTCGTCACAGGTGAGTGCCGGCCGGGCCACGGAGGGAGGGCCGCAGGCTGCCGTTTCCACCCCCAGGGCTCCCGTGCGCCGCCCCCTCGCGGGAGCGTGTGCTCGGATGAACCAGGTCTACCTGCAGCGCCAGGTACAGCACAGAGTGTCTGATGTACCTTCTGTTCAATTTCTGAGAGGAGGTTAGCAGCCCCGGCGATATGTCTGCCGTTTGGGTCAAGTTGGACACGCGATGGGCACAGTGTGGATTCTGGTAGGTGTTCGATTTCTATGGGCAGTAAAACTTCTTCCCATGTGCCCTGTCTAAGGGATGGTTCTATTCAGAAAACAGCAGGGAATTTGTTGTGAAATTCACACAGCAGCAACAGCGTAGAAGTGTTACACAACTGTAGGGTTTGCTGTGACACAAGGAGGGCCCTGCTGTAGGGCTGTCATCCCCCTCCCAGGCCCCACCCACAGCTGGGGGTCAGCTTCTCCCCGGACTTTATGAAGGTTGGCTGAGCTCCAAGTACCCATGGGGCAACCCTGACCCCCAGGCCCTCTTCAGCCGCTCTCTGTGATGGTCTCAGTGGTTAGATTACTCTTGGTTTTATCATTCTGACCCTCCCTTACTTCCCCACCGGCCCGTCTGTCCTTAACAGGGTCTCGTGGGCCCTTCCCTGACCCCAGGTCTCTCTGGGGTCACCCTGCACCCTGGGGGAAGAACCTCCAACAGCGTCCCCATTCTCCATCCATCCTCCAGGCCCAAGGAGCCCTTCTGCTGTCCAGCCTGGTGCAGGCCGGTGTGGGAGCATCAGTGTGTGGCCATGAACATTGAAAGTTAAAAGCACAGGGAAAATGTGGTTTTCTAGCCCTACGTGCGGCTCATCCAGTGCCCCCCGCACCCACCCGGTGTTCATGCGTGCTGGGTACACAGTGGGGATTTCTGCGGTTGAACTGCGTGAAAGGCAGCTCGTGTCTAAGCAGAATCAGGAAGGGGCACTCACTGACTGCTGGCCTTTGGCAGGCTGTCTGAGGCTCCCGAGTGGTCAGCCCACAGCTGCCCTCTTGCTGATGGTCATTATGGATGGACAGTGTCAGGGCTTGTCATTTCACAAGTGCTTTGGAAGCAAGTCCCTGTGGGAGGAGCGGCCAGCCCGGGTCCAGCGGGGAGCAAGGGTGTGGGGTCTCAGGCCCACGTCCCCTCTCCCCGCAGGTCCACGTGGTGCTCACAGTGGCTCCCGCATCCACAGTATTAGCTGCCCCAGCCAGGCCCTCGACAGACAGTGGTTGTGTTCTCAGATCTTCTGAAGAGAGCAGAGTGCCCTGAAACAGTCCCAGGGTAGAGTCTCTGAGCAGCCGGCCAGGGCAGTGCGCACAGATCTGCCACCGTTTGGCAGAAGGAAGCTGTGTGTGCAGCTCATTGTGCTGCTCCCGTGGCTGGACACACGTGGGGTCCAGGCAGCCCAGCCGAGTGCAGCGCTCCTGTGGCCAGCAAGCAGAGCTTTCAGACCAGTGTCTCCAACATGCCAGGCCCCAGGGAGGCCGGCCCCCGAAGACCCACTGAGAGCTTTGTAGTTGGGGCGCGCGGAGGAGAGGGCTAGCTGCGAGGGCACGGGGACAGGGTGCGGTCCAGGAAGGCTTCCCAGGCAAGGTGCGTCTTCCCCGAGACCCTGCTCAGGAGTCACAGCTGAGTGGAGGGGGCGGGCCGGCAGCAGGAGCCAGTACTGCCCAGTGGGTGTGACGTGTCGTCCGTTCTTCCAGCCCCTGGCCACTCACCGGCGCTGTGGGTGTGGCCGTGTAGCTGGGACCTGGTTAGCCGTCCCAGAGCTCCCGTGGAAGCTGATGGTCCAAGGGGGCCCGGCTGGGTTTCGGCACAGCGCCCAGGCCGTGCTTCTGTGCAGCCGGCATTGCAGACCTCTGGCCGCGTTCGTCTCACCTGAAGAGCCTTGAAGACTTTCACCACAGCAGGGCGGGCAGTGGGCACTCCACAGGGAACGGTCAGGTCTTGGGCCACGGGAGTCACTCCTCTTGTGTGGATTCCTCTGCTTGGACAGAACCCGCAGCGCCAAGGCCGGTGCTTCAGAACCGGGCCCAGAACCCAGAGCAGCTTGGCTTTTCAGCATCTTTTCTCTAACCTAAGTATGGACCTGGTGGAGGTGTCTCCGCAGTGCCTTTGTTTGCAGCTTCACTTCGTGTGAATGAAGTCAGCCCAGGTGGCTGAGAGAAGGCCAGGTGCTCACTCAGGAGCGGTCATAGTCATGGCCACCACCACCACGTGCACATCGCAGACCCCCAGGGCAACTGGCCCACCCCCATCCCCCGGGCAGGAGCAGGGGGACCCTGGGGGCCTTGGCTTTGGTGCCATGGGCCGGAGGAGCAGAAGCCACAGCTCAGCCTCCCGGCAGCCAAGCACCAGGGGCGCGGCTCCAGGGCAGCCCGGCCTCCCTGCCCAGAGCAGGTCCCTGCGTCCCACCTCGCTCAGCTCTGCACAGCCGGCCTCTGCTGGCAGCTGGGCAGCTGGGACAGAATTCGATCCAAACCTAATCGCCCTTATACTTGAAAGTTTTACAGTGTGGACCGAAACCGACCAGTTCAGAGTTACCATCCAAACCTCTTGTCCGTGACCTAAGGATCATCTTTAGGTTCTGAACCAGAAACTACCTGGCCAGCTGATGGGTTTGCTCCAGAAAGTCAGGACGTCCGGTGTTCGGTGATGCTGATCAGTACACTTTTGCCCGAGTGTGGTGGCCCCACAGCGTTACACTCCAGAGGAACTAGAGTGAAGTCAGAGTGAGCAGGATGAGGGTGGGAGGTGATGTGGAGCCAGAAGCAGACCGGGGTCCGGCCCAGGCAGCTCCGTGTCAGACAAGGCGCCCACGGGCTCTGGGTCTAAAAGCCAGGCCCTTCCACCGTCGGCCCGCGTCCCCGCGGGGACAGTGGCCTGCGTCCTCAGGGAGGTGTCTGCCCTGCGAGAAGGCAGGGGTCTCTGCACGCCGAGCTGCTGGGAGCCTCAGCACGGGGCTGGGGGGCTCCCAGTGGGCCCCACACCAGCGCGGAAACCCGAGGCCCCTCCTCACCACTCCTCTGAACTCCTTGTTTTCCATCCCACGTCAGCCCTGGAGGGTGATCTCTGTGGAACTGGGGCTTCCTTCCCCAGACCCAGGAGGGGCTTCTCTGGGTGCGAGGCAGGGTCAGCCTGCACACCCCGCCTGGGGTCTGCTCCCCGGCACTTACTGAGCCTTCGCTTTCGTGACGCTGAAGCTTTGAAAACGACTCTGTTTTCTGAGACGGGAGCTCGTCAGTGACCGAGTAGCCTTTTAATCCCATGAGGGCAGTGTTGTGACATCCGTCTTTTCTCCGGGAAATAGTTCAATCCCTGCGATGCCTCGATCAGCAGTTGCTGAAATGCCTTCTTTAGGGTGAGTCTGTGGGTTTTTAGATTGTTCTAGAAAACCTGGGAGAGACTGAGTCTTCCTTTTGAGTTACTCGTTGTAATTTAGTAGCCAAGCAGACAGTAAAACTGAAGATCACTTATCCTTCCAGAAAGTTACTGGATTGTGTAAAAAGTGATGATGGTTTAGGAGACGATGGTTGATTTGCTTTTCGAAAAGAGAGCAAGGGACAGTTCTGCTAAGGCTGGATCTTTTTTTCTGTTTGCACACGGAGTAGTATTTTTAATTTAGAAGTAGCCCCCACGAGGGAACCAGGAAAAGACTGAGAGTCAGTACCCACCAGGGGTCTCAGGCTCGACAAAGCATGATGAGATAGTCCCACTGGCTTTGGAGTCCCTTGGAGGAAGACAGGAGCCACCGCCTGTCAGCAGGGCCGCTGGGGCAGGTGCCACGTTGCAGGCATCGTCCACTCGGCGCAGCCGACAGCTGGGATTGGTCTGCTCGTTTGTCGTCTCCCCAAGTCAGACGCCCTGCTCTGGGGTCACATCAGTCTGAGGGATGTTGTGTGGGGATTCGCCCCACCAGGTGGTCAGGGAACGGTGTGTTAGACCCTTTTGCCCTCAGAACCAGGGAAAAATGGTAAACTAAACGAACAATTTTTAAAGCAAAAAGACTGGTGGTTGGAAGGATACAGAAAAAAAAGTGTTTAACTTCCTGGGTTCACTGAAGAGGTTGCATTTAAAATAAGATGCAAAAGCAGGTTCACAGCAAGGGCATTGTCCCCTGTCAATACGGACACTCTGTCCAGGTCCAGCGAAGCCGCCGTGCTCGTGTGCAGCAGGTGGGTGTGTATGTTGGCAAAACTTCTCCATAAACTTGTGCAGAGGCTTTGACCATGTGCATCAGGATTTGTTAAAGTGTTAATGCCCTCTTGATGTGTAAAACCGAGGCTTTAAGAGACCCTGGAAATGGTTTGACTCGTGAGGACAGGTTCCTTCTTCACCAGACAGTTTCCTTGGAGGTCAGGGCAGAGCTCGCCTGCGGGTCCTCCAGAGCCGGGGCCGCCTTCCTCAGCCGGGCCCTGGCCAGCCTGCCTGCCCGCAGCGCTGCTCAGAGCCACGCCTTCCCGGGCCAGGGCCCCGCTTGGAGGCTTGGATCCCGTTTGCAGCGTGGGCCTGGCTGTCGGGAGACAGTGGCCTCCGAGTGAGCGTCTCTGCACCCGAGCCGAGCTCGGGGCATCAGCACGCCTGGAGCAAGGCCGGCGGGCCGCAGGGATTCGGTGCCGGCCGGCGGGGGCAGTCTCGTGGTCCGCCAGCCACTCAGCAGCCCTCCCTGCCTCCCCTCTTCCCCTCCTCCCTCTGCCGCCTTTTCCTCCGTGTTATCTTCAGGCTGGTGTCTTTCAGGCCTGGGCGCGCTGCCCCTGCACGCACAGCCCCTGGTGGGGGCGGAGCGCGTGTCCCCGTCTGTGCACAAGCTGCGGCCGCACCGCCCGCTGGGGCGCACCCAGTCGGCACCCCTGCCCCAGAACGCCCCTGGCCTGCAGCACCTGGTGGTCCAGCAGCAGCACCAGCAATTCCTGGAGAAGCACAAGCAGCAGTTCCAGCAGCAGCAGCTGCACGTGAGCAAGGTGGGTCTGCGGGCGCGACGGCCCCCTCTGTCCTAGAGGGGGGCAGGAGACGGGGCGGGGGGGGACCCTGGCCGCAGCGCACGGCAGGGCCAGGAAGCTGTGTACGTGGGCTCAGGGCGAGCCAGGCGAGCGGCACAGGCCCTGCTCAGCAGTGGGGGGCAGCTGGAACGTGTTGGGTGTGTGCGCCGTCTGTGTCCCTGGGGGATGTGCGCGGCTCGCTCGGCCCTGTGTTCTTGAGTTTCTTAAGGACATTACTCTTCTTAAGCAAACTCCCCTTTACGATGGCACAGAGCCCCCAGAGGACACTTTCCAAGCCCCTGTCACTTGCACTCTGCCTGCCGTTGGAGTGACCGCGTCAGGAGGGGTTTATGCCCAGGCGAGCCCTGGGGTCCATGTCCCTCCAAGGTCTGGGACGCCGCTCACACGGCCCACTCTCAACAGGAGGTAGTGGAAAGGTTAGTGTTGCCCTGCTGGGTGTGAAAGCAGGGAAATGGCGATCCTGAATCACGTTTCTTAGAGGCCGGCGTTTAAAGCAGAGCCTCTCTAATCAGAGAATGAGATGACCACGTTGCAAAGCGGTCCGACACGGTCAGCACGCCGCCCAGCAACTCCGGTCCCAGTGTCTGCCCCGGAGAGCGGAGGGCACGGCGGCCATCTCACGAAGGCTCGCCCCAGTGCAGCTCACGACAGGGGACGGTGGGGCAGCCCAAGTGCCCGGCAGACGGCGGGTGGCAAACAGCCCGTGGCACGTCCGTGCAATGGGACACTATTCAGCCACAAAAACTAAATAAACACTTCGTGTGGATTCCACGTAGATGAAGCGTCCAGAACAGGCAGGTTCAGAGACAGAAAGGAGGTCGGTGGTTGCCCACAGCTGGGGCTACCATGCTTCCCCTTGAGGCGCTGAAATGCTCTGAGGTGGAGTCTGGTGGTGGTGGCACGGCGGTATGGTACAATTTGAAAGCGTGACTTTCATGATGTGCGAATTACATCTGCGTACAGCTGTCAACAAAAGGAGAGGGTGCGGTGACAGAAGGCAGCTCTGCTGATTTTCTGAAGGAAACGTGAGGTCTCTGGCGGGTAGGGGGCGGCAGGACTTGGCTCTGGACATGTCTCCCCCCGGGAAGGCCTGCCTGGTCCTTCCCCCTTTTCAGGTGGACCCTGGTCATCCGTCCTCTGCTTGTCAGACACGGGTAGGCTTCTGTCTGCTTCCTGAGGGACAGAAGGGGCATGGCAGGGCAGGGGGTGGTTAGGAACCTGGAAGGAGCCCACATCTAGGTGCCCAGAGGCGTGAGGTGGCTGGTGCGGAGGGAGCCGCCCCCTCAAGGTCTGAGGCACCGCGTGTCACCATCCTGGCTGGGCTCCGCCAGCCCTCCTCACTCTCACCCAGTCCCTGTGCATGACGTGCAGTTCCCTCCCCCCAGCCCTCGTCCCACCCCATCCGGTTGGTCGCAGGTAAGGACACTAACTTGAAAGAAGGCGTGTCCCTCACCCTCACTCCCTGGGCTCTGCTCCTTCGCGTCTCGGCCAGACTGTCACCTCTGGATGGCCCTGACCCCCCCCCCAAGAACCGCTGTCCCGCGCTGTCCTCCTACCATGTCCTCCTCTGTCCCTGTGCCCCCCCCAATCTCACCTTCACGTTGGGTTCCCCCGCTGGGACGTCAGCCCCAGAGTGGGACCCTGCCTCGTTCACTGGTGGACCCATGCCTGGCATGGTGTGTTTTTGTCGGTGCCACTTGCTGAAATGACAGCGTACCTTCCCGGGGCTGCTCCACCACCAAGCCCAGCCCAGCCCCCACCAGGTCTTCAGGCTTCGATTTCCTGCTTCCCAGGACAGTGGGCTGCCTGGGGCGCATTCCCCAGAGATGGTAGCTGCTGTAGCTGCTGTCGGCCCCCACGTGTTCCCAGTCCCCAAGTATGTCTGTGGGACAGTGCCCCGCTCCTGAGTGACCGGCTACCCCAGACCGTATGCTCACGGCAGGCCAAGCCCAGGCCTCTGCTGCCCACCAGGCCCTGGGAAGCAGGCTGGCCACCCCGTCCCAGAGCCCCTTGGCCCACGGGCTCCCCCACCAGACAGCACAGGGCAGGATCAGAGACAGGGCTGCTGAACACATCCCCCCCGCCGCCCCTGCCTCCGGACCCGAAGGGCACCTGCCCCCTGTGGGCGGAACGGGCGCCACCAAGTCTGCTCACCCCGAGTGTCAAAGGCATGTCACAGCACCTTCCTGATGCCAGCTGGCTTCCTAGTTGATCACATCGTTATCTGAGCGAGGGGGTAGGAGGTTTTAGGAGGACGGGGAACACGTGTTCGTATGTGGCACGTTCTTCAGCAGAATGACGTGGAAGCGGGCTGGTCTCTCTGGACTCTGCTCCGTGACTGACTCGCGGCAGCCAGTGGCAGCTGAGTCGTGTTCACGCTCTGCTCTCCCGGGCACTCGGGAGCTGACGACCATGTCTGGTACCGTCCAGCTCTGCTTGTCTGGCCGGCGGGCCCCAAGCTCACCGTCATCCCTGGCGCAGTCTGCTGCTCCAGTGGTGTCACCCTTAGGGAGGTTGGCCGGCCCAGTTACATTCCCAGTAGCTCCACGTGGCCGCCGGACTTCCCCTGAAGTCCACGTTCCAGACAGCTGCCCCATTTGGCTGAGAAAAGTCTGCGGGGGAGCAGGTGGGCCCAGGAGCTGGCTCTGTTCACCTCTCCTTCCCGTGCTGGGAGTGACCAGCCCTGCCCTCCAGCTGGGTGTGACCTTCGAAGTTTGTGTTTTTGTCTTGAGTGCAGTGGTGCTTAGTAAGGCTTTGCTGAGTGAGGGAACTTTCTGGAGAATGCGTTACCATCAAAGGGCCGTTTGTGAAAAGGGGGAGACGTGCAGAGGCAGAAGTGCGTTTTTCTGTCGAAAGAGGGTATCTGAGGGCTCCCTGCAGCCTGGAGTCCAGCGCTCTGCTGTGACAGCAGCGCCTGCGGCCGCGGCCAGACGCCATGCACCGGCTCGGTCCTCTGGAGCCGCGGGTGGGAGCGCATCCCTTGGAGCTGGGCAGGTTCCCTTTAATGCGACGTCCTCAATTCTGAGTGTGAAAGCTGGGGCTCGCTTCCGGCTGGCCTGACGGTGAGCGCATCCAGTCACCCTGATGTCCTGACCTGCTCGCTGGTTTGGCTTTGGCCCTGGACTCCAGCCTGGCTTTTAGGAATTTGTTGTTCCAAACACGGAGTTGCATTCGTTCTTACTCAGCTGAGAGAAGGGGACTCGTAAGATTCCCAAAGGTCCTGCCAGACGAAGAGCTGGTTCGTTTGTCCAGTTTCGCTGCCAACGTTTCCACTGGCAGACGAGCCTCACCCCAGACGGTGGCTCTGCCGAGGGCCCAGTGCACAGCCCAGCCCGTGGGAAGCAGGGGGAGAGTCCGGCCGTGCAGGCACCGGTGGCACTGCTGAGCGGCGACCCTGGCGCACATAGGATGAGCGTCTGCGTCTTCACAGGGAGGCTGCTGCGTGCGACGCCTCCACTGCTGTAGTGACAACCCTCCCAGACACCCGCCTCGGGGCCTGAGGGGGGCTGGCAGCAGCCAAGCTACCCCAGCCCCTGCCCAGAGCTTCTCCCGACGGTGGGGTGGGCGCATTCCAGGCGTCCAGGAGCCCTTCAGCAGAGCTGGGCTCTCTCCTGGGAGCCCAGAGTGTCCTGACTCCTCTGGTGGGGTCTGAGGGCTCTGCTCAGATGCCCTCAGTTTCCAAGGAAGCCAGGGAGGCAGGAGAGGAGGCCTGGGACGTTGGCCCCGTGTGCAGGCTCTTCCGCGTTCCCAGTCTGCACGCTCCTCCCAGGCCTTCGTCACCTCCAAACCCCTCTCCTTCCCTCGGACGGCCCGGAGCTCCCATCCACCCCCGCCCAGCCAGGCCCCACCAGGACAGGCTGGGGGAATGAGGCTGGTGCCTCTGGGATCCCTGAGGGAGTGAAGCTGCAGGGAAGAGGAGGGGACACTCCCACCCAAGCTGACCCGAGAGGCCAGGGCCCCAGAAGGAGAGAGCAGTGTGCCCGGGCTGGTGGCCGCGCCCCACCACGTGGGAGAGAGTGCTGTGGAGCAGAGATGGAAACCTCTGGGGCTCACATCAGCCCTTAAACCCTCATTCTTGTCTCTCCCAAAATGAAGTAGGAAGCAGCCCACAGACCAGGCTGCCTGATGGGGGACGAGCAGGAGCCCGAGGTCAGGGGGACCACGCACTCCAGAGATGCTTGAGACTGGCAGTGCTGGGCAGGCACGGAGTGGGGAGGGTCAGTGGGAGCTCAGGCTGCAGCTTAGCAGGGGCAGGAGAGTGGTTCACTCGCTGGGAAGGAGTCTGAGAGAAAGGAGAGGTTTGCAAGAAGCTGTGCTGAGTTCAGTATCGGGTCGTGCGTGCCGGTGCCCCGGGCATCCACATCGAGCCCGGATGTCCAGCAGGCCATTGGGTGATGGGTCTAGAAATGAGGGCGGTCTGGGCTGCGCACCTGCGTTTGGGGGTCACCAGCATGTGGAGCCTTCAGCAGAGAAGGGATCCGGTTGCCAAAGAGCTCAGTGTGCTGGGCAGCAGGCCCCGGGCAGACTGGGGACTGAGGAGTGAGCGGGCTGAGGGGCCGCAGAGGGCCGGAGAGGCCGGCTGTCCCCCGTGGAGTGCTGGCAGCAAGCTCATCACACAGCCCGGACTTGGCAGCGAGTGCCAGGATGTGAGTTTCTGGTGGGGTGGCAGGTGGAGGAGAGACAGGCGGTGTTTCTCCCAGAGGCCATGGCCGTGAAGGAAGGAGGGTGCTGTCAGCCTCCCCCTTCACGCCCAGGTGCAGCCGAGGGGTGACGCCCGTGACTCGCATTGTGCTTCGCTCTGCTTGGCACGCAGGTGCCTGATAGCACGCGCCAAATGCTGGGCGGTGTGCCTCCTCAGCACCACGGACAGCGCCCGGCACCCACGCGGTGTGGGTGAGTAGAAGGGGCCTCGGCCCAGGATGAGCGCGTCCCTGGGTGACTGGTCCCTCTGTGTCTGAGATGAGGCTTTGTGACGTGCCTTCTCCTGTCGCGTCACCTCCCTCGCCCGGCTCACACCAGCTCCATCCGTTACCTCTGTGTTGCAGATTATCCCCAAGCCAAGCGAGCCGGCCCGGCAGCCCGAGAGCCACCCTGAGGAGACGGAGGAGGAGCTGCGGGAACACCAGGCCCTCCTGGAGGAGCCCTTCCTGGACCGGCTCTCGGGGCAGAAGGAGGCGCTCGCGCTGGCCGGGGTGCAGGTGAAGCAGGAGCCCCTCGAGAGTGACGACGAGGAGGCGGAGCCCCCCGGGAGGCGGAGCCGGGCCAGCGGCAGCCCACCGAGCAGGAGCTGCTCTTCAGACAGGTGACCCCGCGGAGGGGGCGGGGTTGGCGGGCACGGGGGGGGGGCGAGGGGCAGGGGCAGGCGGGTGGGCGGGGCTCCGGCAGTGACCTCGGAGGAGACGGAAGGGCGTCCGCCCTCCTCCTGCCTGCCCAGGTCCTCGTCCATCTCCCCTGTGATGTGGGAGGCAGGTGCAGGGAGACGTCTGTCTCACAGCTGTCGTACCTGGAGACCCGGCCCCTGCCCACTGCCTGTGTTTATGCACCTGCGTTCCAGCTAAACACAGACCCTAAACTCCCTGCGGATGGTTTCCGTCAGGTCTGTAGGCTGTAGATTAACACAAATTCAAGTGTTGGTGGATTCAGCATAAAGGTAGAGAAGAGACCCTGATTTATTAATTAATCAAAAAGGCAGGCAGCATCTGCTCAGTGTCTGATGCCAGGACCTTTAGGGCCAAGACGACCTAGTGAGCAGCTTTACAGACCCAGGGAGGCAGCGTGGCCCAGGCGCCCGGAGCGGTATGGCTCCTGGGCACTGGTGTGAGCCGACAAACTCACAAGAGACTGATGGATAAATCCGCCGAACGACTGCGTTGTTGACATACAGTGAAAGTAAAGCTGCCAGGTCAGCAGGACACCAGGATTCACGGGCCAGCAACCCCGGGTTAGAAGCCCGAGTGCCCTGGGGGCTGGCTTGTTCCTGACAAGCGGGGCGTGGAATCTGGTATCTAGTCGAGTCATCCATCAGTGGCGCTGGACGCCTGGGGTGCGAGGCCCTGGCTCGCCCGCTCCTCCCTGCTGGACCTCGTGCCGGCTGCCCCCCAAGCCCCTCCTCCACTCTGACAGCCCCGGCGGGACCCCTGCTGCTTGTCCACCTCCCAGCAGCACCTGCAGTGAAAACAGGCAGGTGACCCTTGTGTGCAGCATGGGATTAGCGCTGCCTTCTCTGGAGGCCTCTCTGTGGCAGCCGTCGGGCCCGCCCCGGCTTCTGCACTGCGGGGTGGGGCAATGCAGGCGGCTGGCCCTGCAATGCTTTTCCTGTTTCTCATTCAGAAGGCGGCCTGGCTGATTCCTCAGGCCATATTATTAGCGCTCAGCCACTGCTCCACAAAGGGCACTGGAACCGGCGCTTAGGGGAAGCTGGGAGGAGGCAGCACGAGGAAGTCGCTGTCTTGCCATCATGCGGACTCTCTCCATGCCTGGCGGGCCGTCAGGTGGCGGGACCCGAGACGGGGCTTCGCTCCCAGGCCGGTGGTGGGGCCTCGAAAGTTCATGAAGGACACCGGTCCCTTATGTAACGAGAACTCACGCTGATGTGAGATTGGAAGACATTTTGATCAGCCTTTAGGGCTAGCGTCTCGTCAGTGGTAAAGGGGTCAGCACGTACCCAGGAAAACCAGGCTGAGACAGTCATCAAGAGCCCTTGGTTTCTGTGTCCCCTGGAGAATCGCAAGCACAGCTCCTTGTCAGGGGACCTCGGTGGCACAGGCGGCAGTCAGCAGATTTGAAACACGAGGCGTCACCGCTTCCTGCAGGCCGCGTGTGTCTACAGAGGGCTCTTTTCTGTGTGAGCCTTCGGGAGCTCCGTCAGCAGAGGCGGGGGGGGGTGCCGGGTGCGGCCACCTGCCCCTGACTCCCTGCAGGGCCTCCCCAGGCTGCCCTGTCCCTGGCTCTTCCGCTCCACGTCCTAAAGGCAGCGGGGGCACCGGGGGCACCGGGAGCCGGCCGAGGCGCTCTCCTCCCCTGTGGTTGCAGCCCAGCGACAACCCTGGTCGAGGGCCTGCTCATCGCACAGGGGACAGGGGTCTTCCCAAGTGACAGCGTTGCCTGGTAGGAATGAGGGCAGGGCTGGAGCTTAGGGTCGCCCAGGAGCTCGCTGTCTCTGGCACCTGGGCCTGTGCAGTGGGGTGTCCTGCCCCTCCCTCCTTCCCACCCGCCCTGGGAGGAAGCCCCTGCTCCCCGCAGACAGAGCCACCCCCTGGCAGGGCACCTCCAGGACCCCACCTCTCCTGCCTGCCTCCCAGGGGACTCCCGTCAGGTCTGCATCCCTGGGACCCAGGCTCCACAGACCTGCCTCCCACCTCCCTGAGAGCCTGGGTCCCAGGCCCTCTCCCGTCTGCCCCACAGCCCCTCGTGGAGCTTCCCTGCGTGTTTCTCCACCGGCTCAGAGTGCAGTGGAGAGGACGGGTGGTGAGCCCCGTCCAGCTTTGGCTGTGGGGCCCTGCGTCCCCGGCTCCAGGTGCTCCGGGTGGCTTCGCCTTCGGGCCGAGGCCCCTTGGTTTTCAGGCTCCTGCCTCAGGTTTAGGCCCTGCAGTCTCTCACAGAAGCCAGTTCTCCATGTGAAACCTGATTTCTGTGAAAAAGAGTTTTATGTAAAGTGTGTGTTTAACTCAGTCCATTTTATTCTGGTTATTTTGGCTGAAGTGGGGCCCTGGGGATTGCCCCTCTGGGTCCTGACTCCTCAGAGGGGAGCACCCACACCCCTCCGGCCCCGTGCCTCTCCTCTGCCTCAGCCACCCTTTCTGTCCTCGCGTGAGGACCTGAGACCGGGACGGGGAGGAGTGGGGACGGAGGAGAGGCGGCATCTCCCACAATCACGTGCTCTCTCACCGAGTCCGGGCGTGCAGACCGGGCACCCTGGGCACCGCCAGGTGGCAGCAGGCCCTGCCAGGAGGGCGGCTGTACCCTGGCATCTGCAGGGCGGCCAAGCCAGCTGAGTCCCTCCCGTCCTTCACACCTCCCAGCCCCTCCTGGGCAGCCCTTTCCTGTGGCTGCCACACCCGCCTCCACGTGTGCCACCCCCTCAGGGCCCCCTTGCGGCCCCCAGGCGGGGTCAGGCCACCCTGTCATCTCTGACCTGGCTTGTCAGGGTCTCTCGGGAACTTCCAGTCTCGTCAGCAGGGCCGAGTCTCCCTGGCTCGCCTGCCACCCCTCCAGCACAGGGAGGGGGTCTGCACAGGGGCAAGCGGAGGGGTGGGTGGGTGACTGCAGGAAGGGGACAGATGTCGCCCTTGCGCCGGGAGGCAGAGCGCCTTGCAGCGACAGAAGTGGCCTGTTTCCCCCCCAGCAAGCCCTCCTGCTGGAGCAGCAGCGGATCCACCAGCTGAGGAACTACCAGGCGTCCATGGAGGCCGCCGGCATCCCCGTGTCGTTCGGCGGCCACCGGCCTCTGTCCCGGGCACAGTCCTCCCCTGCGTCCGCCACCTTCCCCATGTCTGTGCAGGAGCCCCCCAGCAAGCCGCGTTTCACCACAGGTGAGGAGGGCGGGGGCAGCACCCCCTTGGGGCCTGTGCGGGCCAGAGGGCGAGGGGCCGGGGGGGCACTTGCGCTTGATCACCCCGCTCCCCCCTTGGCTTAGCCCCCTTGGCCTTGCCCGTGTGGCCCGGGTTCCCCCGGCATACGTGCGCAGGTGCACGGCGAGTGAGAACCGTGCTCGGGCACTGGCTTCTGCACCGAGTGTCCCCCGCCACTGCCAGGGCCCTGGTTCATCCGCCCCGCACCCCCAACCCGGTGGGGGGCCGTCTGCTGGCAGGACTCTCGGTTTCTGCCTGGGGGGCACTCACCACGAGTCAGGACAGAAGTGTGGCTGAGCGAGGCGTCCACCAGGGTCTGAGGCTCTGACCCCAGAGCTGCCCCCGGGCGGTGCCCCCCAAGCCCTGGACCTGAGGGCGGCCTGGGGAGCTCCTCCCACAGCGCCTGTCTCACTCACCTGGTGTTTCTTCTCAACAACGTAGTAAGACAAACTTACGTGGACCAGGCCATCCATCCCTCCTCAGACAGCCCTGGTAAAACGCCCTGCGTCCCGCGCGCTGCAACGTGCGGAGTGAAGTGGCTGCGTTCCCCTTGGCAGGTCTAAAAGGACACTGTTCACGCTCAGAGAAAAGGCTCATAGTCATGCTCCAGAAGTCAAATGGTGGCTTTTCAGAAAAGAAATCCAGAAAACTGCAAAGTGCCCCAAACAGAATCAGCGGGCGACGCTTTTTAAGTCTTAAGTCCTTGGCTGTTGGCTGAGGTGAGCTCCTTCTTAGAAGGCACAGCTCAGGTGACCGACCCCGGGCCCGGGACCACAGTGGAAAGGCTCCCACGTCAGGCGCCTCCCGGGCGCTCGGGGGTCCCCACGGGCCAGCATGACATCACCCAGAGTGCCGGCTGGTGGCCCCTCTCTGTTGATGGACTTTCTTGGTTTGTTCTCATTTTCACTTCTTAAAAAACAGGCGCCAGTGACAGGTGCCCCCTCTCGGCTGTCCTGCCTGCGAGGGCGCCCTTTCGCCCAGCGACCTACCCTCGTCCCACCCCCGGGAGACCCGCGAGCGAGGTGTCTGCACAGCGCTGGGGCAGGGGAGCAGGCCGCCCCTCCTGGCAGACGTCCCCGGGGCTGACCCTCCCCCCGGGAGGTGCACCAGGAGGGAGTGGAGCGGCAGCAGACCTCCTGGCCCTGCCCGCCCTCGTCTCCAGACAGGTGGCTTCCCCCGCCCCCCACGCCTCTTCAGAGTGACGTCGGTCACTTCCACCAGCCTGGAGCGCCACCATCTCCCTGCAGCAGATCCCGGGCTGGTTCCCAGGCTTCCTGGGCGTCCCTCCCGAGAGTGACCTTGTTCTGGGTGCCCTGAGGGCCGGCTCTGTGCTGGGCACCATCAGGCCTTCACGGCCTTCAGCTCCAGCCCGGGTGGAAAGTGCAAACTCCTGTGGTTGGTGCAAGTTCCTGGTCCCAGGTTACAGCCTTCTCTAGGGTGACTTTAAACGCACTGGTGTCAGCGTGTCAGTGTGCTCTGCGCACCCATCCAGCTGCTCTGCAGGCTTCTGAGGGCAGGAACGAGGTTTGTCTTCTGAGCCCCAAGAACCTCAGACCGATC